GGAGTAGAAAGCCTCATCTTTCTCCCGCGGAGCGGCTGGTAGTTTCGAACCGCTGACCTTTAGGTTCGCAGCCCGATTCGTAACCACTACGCTACCAGAGCTCCTTCTAATCAAAAAATAGACAAAGAACTTGAAAGCCTGAATAGACATTTGACCAAAGAAGATATGTGAATAACCAACAAGCACTTGAAAAGAAAGTTAATGCCTTCAGTCATTAATGGGTTAGCAGTGAGCATACCTCCCAGGTACGAGATGGAAATGAAGAAGCTAAGTGCTTAAACAGATAGCTTAAATAAGCAAGTAATTTGGTCAAGATAGGAGTTTTTTCATAAGGTTATAAAAACCCATGTTCAAATCAATTGCAGAGACCAGAAGAAGGATGGTTCCTGATGGCAGATGACATCAAAAGAAAAAACAAATGTAGAGACAAAGATAAGTGTTCATTTGTGGCTGTTAACTTGGGCCACGGATATTTTAAGCCCTGACAGTAGCAGGACATGCCAATGGGTGTGATTTCTGGGGAAGCGAGTAGCAGTCAGATGCAGACACCGGGAGACAGGCTGTTGGTTGAAGCAGGCTGCTCACTGTTTCTGATTGCCCCTCCACTGCAGAGGTGCAGAATATCTGTGTCTTCATTTCATACAGCTGCTGTAACACAAATACCACTAGTGGGTGGCTTTAAAGAACAGAAATGTATGTTCTCACAGTTTAAGAAGCTAGAAATTCAAACCAAGGTCTCAACCGTGTTGATTCTCTGGACCATCCCTGGCGATACTCACATGGTATGCCTTTCCAATGTGTGTGTACTTCTGGGCCTCATCCACTCTTTTTATAACTAAGAAGTGATTAGATTTAGAAACTACCTGCTGCAGGTATGAGCTAATGAACATCACCAAGAAAACTCTATTTCCAAACAGGATTGTATCTACAGGTTAGAATTCCAACACTGTTTTTCAGGGAACTCAATTTAATCTGTAGTCATCTGTTTTGCCCATTTCTTATTTTATGCAATCCAACCTTTTTCCTTGGACAGTCTTTTCATATCACTATATAAGTGATGCGCTGTTTCCTAAGCTTATCCAAATACCACTACTCCCTCAGAGATGCAGCCTTGTGGGGTGGTAGTGTGAATGGTCCTGGCACTTTTAGGGGAATGGGGCATGTCTCTCCACCCCAATTTTCTTCCTTCAATCTGGGTCCCAGGCTTCTTTAGTGTTTTATTTGCAGTCGTTGCTGGCTGGGTCCTGGGAACCAGTAGAGTTGACTTGAGTAAACAGGGCTCCTCTGAGATGCTGAGACTCAGGGGCAGTGCAGCTCTGATGATGGGTAACTGGCCCTGCCTTCAAGAAATGCAGACAGTGGAATGTCAAGGTCTACTGGTGGAGACAGCTCTTACTCCCATCTGACTGAAGAGCAGAAAGAGGTCAAGGTTGCAATGTGTGGGGGAAATGTCTTTAGCTTTCTCCTATGCCCTGTGGTCCCAGGAGTCTGGCCTGCCAGGAATGGTGCATAGGGGTGACTGAGGCTAGGTTGGAGGGATGGGTTCCCTGAAGGAAATTGGTGTTCTAGATCAATTGTGTTTGTATGGCAGTGGGATGAGGGTTATGGTGGGAAGAGCCAGGAACTTTAGGCTATTTCTTTACCTTCTGTGTCTCTCTCCTCTCAGGTTCCTGGGAGAAGCCAAGGTCCCACTCCGGGAGGTCCTCGCCACCCCCAGTCTCTCTGCCAGCTTCAATGCCCCCTTGCTGGATACCAAGAAGCAGCCCACAGGGGTAAGTGCCCATGGGGCCTCTGTACTAGATCAGCTCTAGTCTGAGGCCTTGCCTGGCTGTTCCCTTCCCAGACCCTGCTTTCTGTCATAGTCCATCTCCTCAGAGCTGGGCCTGCCCCCTCCCACTAGGGGGCCCAGCCCAGTGAAGAGAAGGTGAGAGCGCAGGGTGCCCAGGAGAGGCAGTGGGTTGGAAGAGACTAGGCTGTGGGTGTGTCTCACGTATTCCCAGACCCACACCAACCTTGCATCACACCTTAGCGGATACCTGGATTTCTCCTGTTCATTTGACCCATGGTCACCTCCTAGGATCGCTTGTTTTTTTGGGTAGAAACCTGATGTCTTCTCACAGCTTTGGTTGTGATTCCCTACTCTTCCTGGTTGATCCCCATCTTGGCCCAGCTCCTTCTTCAGACTTGGAATATCTGAGTCATCTAGGTCATAGATGACAAGGGAAGGGAGACAGACATCCCCCTTGCCTGCCTACCAGGACCTGCCAGACCCCTTCCTGTTCCTCCATTGTTCTTCCCGCCCTGCCCCCAGCCTTCCCAGGGCTCTCCCAGTCCCAGCAGACAATTGCCGCCCATCATCCCTGGCCTCCCCGTTATTTTTAGTGAGCTAAATATACTCTGTGGAATTCTTTCTTTCTGGTCAGTAGAATTCCTGACCTCCCTTCTGGGTCAGCTCCATCTCCCAGGATGCATCGGGGAACTATTGATTTGAAAATACTTCTTCCCAATGGGGCCTGGGGAGATTCTGGACCTGGGTTTTCTCAAACTGTGTGGATGTGTTTGTGTGACAGAGAGATTGATGCTGGAGCCCTTGGCTGACTTGGGGAGTCAGGAAATAGCTGGTCTGGGCATAGTTTTGCATGGAACAACCACTGGCAACCGGACACTGAAACTTGGAGAGTAAGGATTGCAATCAGTGATGTGAAACAGGGACATTAATCCAGGGATGGTAGGAACTTGGATGGACTCACCATTGCTCTGATGTTGGAGTTTGCTCTGAAGGCATCTTTGGCCACCAGTGGCTGGGATGCTTCCTTGATGGAGAGATGCCCACTTTCTAGGAGAATCTATCTCTTTCTCAGACAACATACACTGTTAGAATATTCTAGTTGGTGTGCTATTCACTGAGCCTGTCTCTGTCACCTCCTGAATCCCCTCTTGTCCTTACCAGACTCCTCCTTAGAGTCAAGAAGGACTCCAAAGAATTCTGGGACTATTCTTCAGAGAATCTCAAAGAGGGCTGTCATGAAGTTGGTCCTCCTGCACCTGGCCTAGAACTCAACTTACCCTCATGGCTCAATTTTAAGTCAACCTATAGATAGGTCTGTTGGTTGTTGTTGTTGTTATGTGCTGTGGAGTTTGTTCCAACGTATAGGGACCCTGTACAGGGTTTCCTAGGCTGTAAATAATTACAGGAGCAGAAAGCCTCATCTTTCTCCCATGGAACAGCTGGTAGTTTTGAACTGCTGACCCTGAGGTTCAAATCGTTCGCAGCCCGATTTGTAACAACTACGCTACCAGAGCTCCTTAGCTCTATTGGTAGTGATGGTTATGTGCTTTTGAGTCGGTTCTGATTCATAGTGAGTTTGTAGCGTTTCTGAAGCTGTAAAGCCTTAACTTTTTCCATCAGAATGGCTGGCAGACTTGAACTGCTGACTGTGAGGTAAGTAGCCCAGCGTGTATTGCACTTTGCTACCAGGACTCTATAAAGGTCCATTAGGGGAACAATAACACTATGGGGATACACACTCCTTAGAGTCATCAGACATTTGAGATCAGATGGGCAGTATTTACCCACGGACAAAGTTCAGAAGGCTTAGGAAAGAAGAAGGAATGGAAATGGGAAACACAGGGAGGAAGTGGTCTAAGTGATGTTACATTGTAAGGATTGCAATCAGTAATGTGAAACAAAATGTGTATGAATTGTTGAGTGGGAAACTGATTTGCTTTGTACTTTTTCATCCTATTCATAATAAAAATTTGCTTTGTAAGTTTTCATCCTATTCCTAAAAAAAAAGGGATGTGTGAGAGCCAAAAGGTGAGGATGAAAGGGAGGCAGGGCTCTGCTAAGCTTAGCCCCAGGCTGAGCATGGGTTGGGAGAGGCAAGACCTCCATCTCTGCTGCCCGGGAGGTAACAATGGTCTGGCCTAAGGAGAGGGCCCAGTAGCAGGTTCTAGCCCCTGTGATGGTTCCAAGTCACTGTGCAGTCCCAGGAGGGGCCTGAGGCCCTTTGAGCTGGGGCTTTTCACCTGAACTTGGGACTGGGTTCAGTGCATTGGAAGATACAGGAAACTTGGGTTGTGCTCAGAAGCGAAAGGCTCTCACAGGCTGAATTGAGCATGGGCTTACTGGCAATTCTTTGGGGCCTGCTTTCTGGGTTGGGTTTATTGAATAGAGCATGCTGGGAGTCCCCTTTTGGTTACAGCCTAGATGCCCTCTGAAGGCTGAAGGGACCTGTTGATGGAGTGATGGGAGGAAGATAGGGCCTGTGGAATCCTTAAAATTCCTGGGAGTTCTGTTGCATTTGTCTGTTGTTCAGTATTGTTACCCAAGTCCCTTCAGATATGGCACGCTGGACTGCACGCCATGGAAGATGCCAAACCTATTTTCAGACAGCTTCCAGACTAATAGGGGAAACATTTCAAAATAATTGAAGATTTACAGAAAAGTTGTAAGAATAGTACAAAGACTATTTTATCCTAAACCATTTGAGATGACTTGATTGCCAACCTGCTGGTGTTCTCATAACCACGCCACATCCTTCAAAATGAGGAACTTAACATCAACTCAGCACTACCAAGATCCCAACCAAGTTTCACCAAGTTTCAAAACAGTGTTCCCAGTAGCAAAAGGAGTCAAATGAGGACCATGTGTTTCACTTAGTTTTCCTATCTCTTAATCTCTTTCCACTTGGGGGCATTTCTGATGTTCATAACCTTGTCATCTTGACACTTTTGGAAATACAGGCCACTTCTTTTGTAGAATCCTCCTTGCTTTGGGTTTGTCTGATGTTTCCTTGTGATTAGGTTTAGAGTGTGCATCTTTGGCAGGATTACAACTCAAGTGATGCTATGTTACCCTCATGGCATCTTACCCAGTGGCACCATTTTGACTTGTTTCATGACCAGTATTAACCTTGGTAGTATCCGCTGGGTTTCTCCCCTATAAATAACTTTCCCCTTTCTAATCAGTGAGACTTTTGTGGGCAGGTACTTGGTTATTCTATAAATAGCCCATTCCTCATCCAACTTTTACCTACCAGATTTAACATCCACTCTCATTTCTTAGTTGAATTCTTTGTTACTTTGATGAATTCTAAATGGTGATGTTCTCAGTTATTTTTTTCTGCATTCATTGGTTAGCATTCTACTGTGAGGAAAAACTTTCCTATTTCTCCACTTCTAATTTTTGATTTATATCCGTATATGGGGTCATATAGTCCTATTTTACAGTAGAACGTTTTCTTAGTAATACACTCCAAGTGTAGCATTGACATTCAACTTGTAGAATGGAATGTTTTCTGTATTCTTTTAATTCTGTGATATAATTCCTTACTATGGCGCTGTGGGTTAAAACACTGGACTGCAAAGTCAGTTTGAACTGCAAGGTCAGCAGTTCAAGCTCACCAGCTGTCCCTCAGAAACCCTATACAGGGTCACTATGTTGGAATCGACTTAATGACATTTAACAACAGCCACATCATTTATTTTAATGTTTAAATTGTCCCTGTGTTGGTCAGTGGGACACAGTGAAAGCTGGAGTCTGGGCCTTTTTGATATGCTTGTAAGATAAAAATATTAAACATTTTTATTGCTTTCTTGCACAAAATAATGTTTTAGGCTCATTTTGTACCTTCCCTGTACTAGCCCTGGAATTAGTTATTTCTCTAAAGAGCCCAACGTGCTATTGGATGAAGTGGGGAAAACCCAGGACGTTTGCTAAAAACATCAGATCTACTAAATCGGAATCTCCAGGACTCGGACGTGGATGTGGGTGTGGGCGGGGCTGGGAGTCTGCTACTGGGACACCCCTTCTCCTAGTCCCCACACCCCCTTTTCTCCGAATTGCAGCAGATTCCGGTACCCGACGCACTGACTGTTCAAGTGGCGACCTCTGGTGGTGGTTCAGGAACTAGCCATCACAGTGATGGAAATGCTTCAGATCCAGAATTTAAAGGGGCTCAGCTGTCTTCCCGGGCCTCCTCCCTAATTCTCCATGGAGGTGGAGCTGCTTTAATATTCAGAGCCTCACCTCCTCACCAGTCCTGTCTTCCTTTAGCTGGGATGTCCAGTCAGGAAGGTTCAGACTCAGGATTCTGATGCATCTGGGACCTTCAGCCCCTCACGTCTGGAACCAGAGTTTAATCTAGAACTGGGCCCATCATTATTTCATGGATATCAGGAAATATTCTGAAAGATGAAACAAACAAAAAGGACTTTCATTTTAAGGGCATTCACTTTAGTTTGATTACAAGAATATTGTCCTGAATATCCCTAACCCTAATATTACTGATGGGAGTCCTGGTGTGGCGATTGCATGAGGTAGATTGCAAAGCTGTTTGAACTGCAAGGTCAGGGATTCAAGATTGTGGAACAGACCATCAATTATTCATATGCAAATTCAAACTGAAGTTGAAGAAATTGAAAACAAGTCCACAAGAACAAAAATATGACCTTGAATATATACCACCTGAATTTAGAGCTTATCTGAAGGACATATTTGATACATTAAACGGTAAAGACTGAAGACCAGAAGAGTTGTGGGATGACATCAAGAACATTATACAGGAAGAAAACAAAATGAAAGAAGACAAGAAAGAAGGAAAAGATCAAAATGGATGGTAGAAGAGACACTAAAACTTGTTCTCCAGCATAGAGATCCTAAAGCAAATGGAAGAAATGAGGAGGTCCAAGAGTGGAACAGAAAATTGCAAAGGTTAGCTAGAGAAGACAAGTCAAATATTACAGCAAAATGTGCAAAGATCTAGAGTCAGAAAACCAAAAGGGAAGAACACACTCAGCATTTCTCAAGCTGGGGGAACTGAAGAAAAAATTCAAGCCTTGACTTTTGTTATTGAAGGATTCTTTGGGCAAATTATTGAATGATCAGAAAGCATCAAAAGAAGATGGAAGGAATATACAGAGTCATTGTACCAAAGGGAAATGGTTGATGTTCAACCGTTTCAAGAGGTAGCATATGATTAAGAACCAGTGACACTGAAGGAGGAAGTCCAAGGTGCATCGAAGGAATTGGCAATGAACAAGGCATCAGGAAATGATGGAATAAAAATTAAAATATTTCAGAAAAGTGAGGCAGCACTGGAAGCTCTCACTGATCTATGCCAAGAAATTTGTAAGACAGCTATCTGGCTGACTGATTGGAAGAGATCTGTATTTGTGCCCATTCCAAAGAGAGGTGACCCAACGGAATGCAGAAATCATTGGACAAACTCTTTGATATCCCATGTGAGTTAAGTTTTACTAAAGGTAATACAGAAATGGCTCCAAGCATACACTGACAGAGAACTTCCAGAGGTTCAAAGCTGGATTCTGAAGAGGCCATGGAACAAGGGATATCATTGCTGATATCCGATGGAGCTTGGCTGAAAACAGAGAATACCAGAAAGATGTTTACCTGTACTTTATTGACTATGCAAAG